TCTAATTTTTCGTTGATATTTGACTTTACTACTTACATTTTGGTAATAATTTACTATATTACATAGTCTGTTCATAACTAAATGTAATTACACTACACTTATGATGTTATTGTTTATTTGGTCTCGTCTCGTATCCTTATTAATCCCATATAGCATTGAGTTGCTCTGATGCGAATTCATCCATATTTCCCTTTTGTAGGACGTATCCCCCGAATTGAACGACAACTTACTGTAGATTAAGACAACCTTACATGAAACCCCTATTTTCAGTTCATTACCATCCTCTCTTTTCATTCAACGCTATATAAGTTATGCATTTATAACAGCACCATTAAATAACCTAAGAAAAGTAAATATTTCTTCAAAATTGCACAATTACACGTGCATATTAAAAGTAGCCTGTGTTTCTTTGCTAGCTTGAAAATTATCTCTGCAGGCGCAATTGTTCCAGTAAAGTGAACGGAGATTAAAACGTATAAAACACATATTTGTACCAGTAATGGTGAGCCTTTGTGGTAATTAAAGTGGTTACTCATTATTATTCCCAACAGTTAATATAATGTAAAGTCGAGGCACGCCTAATTATACCAAACAAGAGCTGTAGTCACCGTACCCATTCACCTGTAATTAAATCAATTAAAAAGCCCATAAACATATATCATAAACATGTAAGTGTCCTCGTTCGGATAGAGAGGTACCGGTCTCCTCCAGAGACTTGTCAGCAACTTTTCAGCTCATGTAATTAATCTCTGTTCAGTCCAGCGCGAGATCATTCATCGAGTTTATGAACCTAGCTGTCCCCATGATATTTTGCAGACATATCAGTGGTGTTACCTTAGGTAGCACGCTTGTGATCACAAGTAGCTTCATTGTATAGGATCTTTGAGAAAAATTGGAAGTTACTTAGCCGTCTTTATTGAAAGCGAAGCGTCATTACAATGATCACAAGACTCCAGTGCTGGAACCAAAAGTATACAGTTCACTTTAATCAGTACTTTTGAATCCTGTTTGTCAAAGATCAGTTAACATGATGTTCCGGCAATATTTCTGTATCCTAACATGATGTTGTGTCTATTATATATTTCCACTCTTGAGTGTTATGTGTCCAGTCCATCTCATCCTTCTTAATTTAATCGAGCTAACAATGATAAGTCATGAGATTATGACGCTACTCGTTAAGTAACCTTATGTTACGTTGGTAATTTATCGGCTAGATAAAATTACCTTTCTCAACACTTTGACCTCTGACTACAAATGACATAAATTATTTGTAAATATTTTCTCTAAAATGTAGCGAATGTGTGAAAGTTCAATTACAATTTTAGGGAGACTATTAAAAAAACAAAAACTATTTTCATAAATCATACTCTTGCTACTATGCAGTGTAAATACAACATTCCATACAGAATTTAATCTTAAATGTATATATTTAAATCTACTTAATTAAACAAAATGCTGTCCTGGAGAGTAAAACCTATTTATTTCTCAACAAGTTATTTGAAATGATATCAACTGCATGTAAGTGTTTAAATTAATTATAGTGGATCATTTTGACTGTTCAGAATATTGCCATTTTAGTTTATAAATTCACATTAACGATAATTATTATTCACTCAAATTATAAGCGTAATGTTATCGTTCTAAATTTAGAATTATGTTAATTAATTTGAGTGGAGTGTGTCCATCTTCTGTGTAGCACCGGTATAAAATAAAATTTCTTCTCCAATTCATTAAAAAAACTGCTCCCGTCTTCTAGAAATTATTACCAAAAGTGTATAAAACGTAGTTTTTCCAACAGGCAGCTTTCTTGAAAAATCAAATTATATGTTATTTTCTGTTTCACGCTATTGATAGTTCATTTTCTATTATTCACGAATGAAGTTCGAAATGTTTTTGTTCTACCCCAATACAATGTCGAATCTTCCGAAGGGAGTGAGTGGGTGAGTTGGAGGTGTTCCTGAAGCTTTGCGTGTTCGTGAGAAGACCGGAACAAGCTGTAGGCGGTTCTCATTATTTGCCTCTATTGATTTCGATAGCCAGTGTTACTACTACGAAACAAACAGTGCTCAGTGCAGTATGCAAGTCTCAGTTATCAGAGAGCTCTTTGGTCTGTTTCCATAAAACGTTTTCCTGTGTTGCAATTTACGCTTATGGTCAATAAAAGCACACATGTTCCTGGGAACGTAAACATTTTTGTATGCATACAATAAGAGGTTGATTATTCGTAAATAAACTTTCCAAAGCGTCACTTTTCCGAACACGGTTTTGCGTTTAGACCAGTGTTCCGCGAAATTTGTCCACCTGCAGCGCACCATAATTTGTCGAAGACACGTGACGGTACACCAAAAAATTCCCCTCACGAAAATGGGGTAAAAAACTATACATGACCATTAATATTTATGTATACATAAAAACTTGCCATATAAGAATGAAATCGAACGTCGTAGTTAAGTGGTAAACACTCTTGCTTCGTATTCTGGAAGTCCCGGGTTAACATCTCGGCCCGGAGACCAGCTATCCTCAGTCACTCCCGGAAAATTCCGTGATAGTACCTTAAATTAGGCCACAAACGCTTTCTTTCACATCCTTTCCAATTCATTATTCACTACCACCCTGTCATTCGACGATATATAGTCTGAGCTACTGAAAAAAACGTCGTTAAATAGACTATAAATAAATAAATAAATACATAAGAATGAGTGCATATATAAAGGAAACATACCATATTTTTAAGCGGATTCCTACAGTTGTTATTCTCTAATTTTAATATAAATAGGAAATAACTACAGAACAAAAATATACAAGGTTACTAACACATCGGTTTGTAAGGTTGGAGAACACATAAGTTGTATTAAAGGTATGTGAGTGGAGTGTAGGCACACTTAATTGTACTAATAATGCGGAATAAAATTCACACGAATGTCTCCAAAGGCTCCTTAACACTTATTTAAATTAACTGCGAACACGCTGTAAAAAGCAGACAACACCGAGCTCTTGGGCTGCCACTTGCTTTCATATCCTCCGGGCAGGAGTGCTTTAAAACATGTTTTGTAGTAGACATTCTTTCTTCTTTCGGTTTCTGCTGATGAAAAATAAATTTACTTTCGTAATACTCTAGGTACGCGTACTCCCGGAGGTACGTGAACACATCTTAGGGGATACGTGAAATTTAAAAAAAAGTTTTTTGATAAACACTGAATAATCAGTAATGTAATTTATTTCATTTATTTTAGATGTAGATTAAATACTATGTATAACTTGCATTATACACCAACAATTTTGGGGGTTCAAAGTTGAAGAGAAATTATATCTGGGGGTACGCGAACCAAAAAAGGTTGAATACAATTGGTCTATGTTCCTCCCTTAGTGTCAGAGAACAAGTTTCACACCCATGCAAAATTGCAGGCAAAATTATAGTTTTGTATATTTTAATCTTCACGTTTATATAATGGTTCTTGAAGTTCCATAAAAGGCGGGAATAGTTGGACAGCTGAGTGACTCTTAAGGTATCAAGAAGGACTTTACTCCACACAGTTGTTAACAAATTTACGCAAGACTATTGCTTGTTAAATGATCAACACATTAATTGAATACAAGATTAATTTGTTTAAATTAAGAGCAGCAATAACGGTCCGTGAGCATGTTCAAATTTCAACACCACGATTATTCCGTGTGCATCAACATTGTGTCAACATTCCATGCTGAATGTATGTATTTATGAAAGTTCTGAATATGAAATGAGGTGGGCCTGCTTGCTGTTGATGATCTGCTTCATCACCTTTGTTTGCACAATACATTTGTAAAGGATGGCTTATGATAGTGATGCCTATCGCTTAATGATGATGAGGCTTGTATAGCTCGAGGTGATGCTCTGCACGGCCCCAATGAGTCACAGCACGCCACGTCAGTCCGTCGACTATTTGCTAAAGAACTCGCCCTTATGTAATAACAATGATTTTAAAAAGGCTGCATTATTTGCACAAAGAGCTTACAGTGAACGCATAATGGAATTTTGGAACGTACCACGCCAAATAATCGTCAGAGAGAAAAAAGAGTTCAGTTAAAGTTTTAGGGGTTACCTATATGACATGTGTATGTTATATCATATGAAATATTTTAAAAGTCATATGGGACTAACAATAATGCTAAGAAAATGTGTGTTGTCGAAAGCGTTGCACAAACTCCTGCTATTTAATCGCCATTTAGACAAGTATTTTTGGAAAAGTTTAAATCCATATAATAAGCGTAAGTCACGTATATTCAGGGTCGTCCTCATTAATAAAGAAGCATGTTATTTTGCTTTGCTGATCTCAGCGCGGAAATCGAAACTATTCTAAAACTGAGATGACTTCACAAACAAATCTGAAAGGAGTCGTGCAGCAGAAACGCAGTTTTTAAATTCTACTCTCTCTTGTTAACAGCAACTAAAACGCAGCTCCTGGCTTACAGGAACATTGTAGCTACTCCTCTAGTAATATAGACATTCTTCGTTGATTTTCAGGACAATAATAAACCCAAGTGCATAGAACGTGTCCGTTCTTCTCAAAGAGCGCCCTGAGAAATTTGCATTGAATAGTCAGATCTTCAGATATTCTTATCGCATTTCTGGTCTACGAAGTCATGCAAGTGCCTTTACTCCGAGACCAGCCAAATGCCGGGTCAGAAATGAAGCCCCTAACTTAGGACCGAAGGTACGATAATGTGCTGTTTGGACAGGGTTATGCACACCTCATACGACGGTGATGAATGAGTATAGGACAATGATTTAATGGTGATTAGTAGGGTAAAAAGAAGAACTTGGGGGAAAATACCACTTCCAGTATCATTTCGTCGACCACGAATTTTACTTGAATTCAAGAATGATTGCACCCAGGTCCACGTGGAGAGAAACAAATGTCTAACATTCGAATTTAGTGCATGTAGTAACATAATCCAATCTTCTAAAATATTTTTTTTTAGTTTTCTTATTTCATGTCAGATGCATTTTATTTTCGTTTCAGGGAGGAGCTAGCCATGAAAATCGGATTGACAGAAGCTCGTATTCAGGTGAGTTGAATGCGTAACACTTGCTGCAGCTTCCTCGTGGACTTTATGGTTCGTAAAGAGGATATTAGACGTTGTTGTTGTTGTTCTAGGTTGTTGCATCGTTTCAACTTGTAGATATATACCAACGTTTCGGAAAAACATATTGTTTTCATCTTCAGATCTGCAGGTCTTGGGTTTGTTTCTCTGAAACATTGGCATCTCGATGTCACAACCAAAAATAAGAAGACATTTAAATTCTTTGTTACATCCTTTTAATATTGTCCTTCCATCTACGCCTAGGTCTCCCAACTCGTGTCGCCCGTTGAAGGTTTCTGTAACGCGCATCACATGCATCTATAATCATTGTTGTCACCGCCCATGAGAGCCCGGAGAACAAAACATGGCCTCCCCCCACTCGCGTGTCATGCAACGACCCCACAGTGCAGCAGTACTGGCACGGCACCATCAAATTAACGATTTATAAGTAAATATAGCCCTAATTTGCTTCCACAATAAGAAGTTTCTGTTACAAGTTCTCGGTCAGTAATAGCCTACCTGGAAGTTTTGTTTCCAGAATTTGGAACAGGTAGCGTAGACGTAATTTCTAAGATGATCTTACTGGTATCTGACTTCTCTGCCTCTTTCATTTTCCTGTTTGTTTTTCTAGAACATTTAAGGTAATTTTGTTGTTATGGTAAGTGAATTATAAATAGATGAGAGTTGTAAAGGAAATTATATAAATTCCTCGCACTCTTGACGTAAGGATATATACATGTATTTAAAAAATAATAATTTTTGGACATTGACAGTATATTGCGTCAATATGTTCATAACACAGAATATTAGTCTCCACAGATTTAGGATTGGTTTGATTGTTATAACTAATTAAAACGACTATCACTGATAACTATCAGTAAAAACAGCAATTAAATTAAACACCAGAATTATCAACTAAAGTAACCTGATGAAATTCTGGTTAGTAGAATTTCCTCTGATTTAATCTTACTGGATTCATACGACGCAAGATAGGACCCTTTTATAAGATCTTTCGTGATCATGATGATAAACTTTCTTGTTCTTTAAATATCAAGGCGG